CTCAAATCAGAGCACTGAGCACTTTATTAAGTCGTTTTCCTGCTGGACAGGACAAGGCAGAGCAAAGGCAGAGCGATTGCCCCCACAATGTAAAGTGTAACAGCAGCAGCAGCAGCAGTAGTAGGACAATAGGGCAAACTACTCGCTGAGATGATGAGATAGATCAAATGATGATCAGATAGAGCGGCAGCAACAAGAGATGATCACTTTAAAATGGTCATCGTCCCCCACAGTCTACTCGTGTGCGTTTGTCTGCTTCTTTATCTCACACACTCACTCACTTGCTCATTTAGTTCACAGGCAAAGACACACACACAACGACGGTGATTTCCTTTCTCCCGACTACTTCAGGACACAAAAAAAGTGAATTGAAAAGGTGAAAGTGAAAAGGAATGATGATGATTAAGAGGAGTGAAACAACAATGACGTGTGTTCAGTGTGTGAGGAACAAAGAGTGCTGATGAGGGCAAAAGTGGTACTAGTTTCCGTTATTTTATTGCAGTTTGATAACTGATTTTTTCAATAAATTTTTCTTTTTCTAAAAATACAAAATTGATTAACTCGACTATTTTATTTATTTTTTGTAAAAAGGTAAACCATTTCTCCTTGTCCTAAAGAGCAGAAAATGTAGGCAAATTTCTTTGCATAAACTTTTTTGAGATATTCTTAATGACGGCATGTTTAATTCTCAGAATGTTTAATTTTATAATACTTTAGTACAAGTTTTGGATTTCCAGTATTTTATAATGCGCTATTTTTTAAATCAAAAATATTCTAAAGTTTGATCATAATTTAAATTTATTGTTATTTATCAAAAATTGATCTTTTCCAAGCAAATCGGAAACGGAGAGTTCACCAAAGACAGAGAATGGTGTTTGTCAAAAGTGGTAACCTTGAACTATTTTTAACTACTTTTTTAAAGCAAGTGTTTACTGTTTCAAACAAGTATAAAGAGAGCAGTCACACAGATACACCTGTCACAATGTCAATCCCTTTTAACTGTAAACTAAAATTTTGAAATAAAATATTGACTTTAGAAAAAGTAATTTAGTATAGCGAAACTTCAACAATCAAACGCTAAAACATAAAGAGTGTTTCTTTCAAGAAATAAAACTTTTGTATGCAATTTACCGACAACATGCACCTAAAAACATTCATTTTCTGTCTTGTAGTGCAGGCCATCTTTTGCCACGGTAATTCTACAAAACTCCTAAACTAATACACTAATCACTTTAAACAAATTAATTTGTGATTACAGATTTAAATCAGAACTCACTTCTGCCATCAACCAGTGATGATTGGCTAAATAACAACAAAAAGGTAAGGCGCTTGTGCACTCAGATAAATGCTCAGTGTTTTCATTTTTTCCCCATTTTGTTTTCAGCAGCAGCAAAACTTTGTGGCCGCATCAACGAGGGACGCTGACCGGACGATATTCAATCCCTTCTTCCTCAAGCGCAAACGACAGGAGACAGCAATGACCGTAGACAATAAAGCAGCTAAAAAACTGAACTCAGCGCAATCCATTATCAATTGGCTCAAGGTGATTATCAGCGAGAGGAATAGAAAACTCTACTGAAGATGAATGCTGGAACAAGTTACGGCAGCTTGGCCACAAAATAATCGTCGGAGTTTTGTAGGAACGCAGTAGTAAATTACGTGTAATTTGCAGTTAGTTTGAAAAAGATCGTCAATAAAAAAGTGCTAGCACAAACAAATATATAAAATAAATTGCAATTAGCCAAACACAACAAAATTTTAAACACTTTGGTAAGAGCGTGATTAATTGGAATGCCATTTGACTGGCGCACGTACTGACTGCTCAGGATACTGTGTTGCGGCGGATTTAGTCTAGGGTTACCCTTCAAATGTTGGATAGGAATTGCCTGGCACGGCAAATANGCAGTTAGTTTGAAAAAGATCGTCAATAAAAAAGTGCTAGCACAAACAAATATATAAAATAAATTGCAATTAGCCAAACACAACAAAATTTTAAACACTTTGGTAAGAGCGTGATTAATTGGAATGCCATTTGACTGGCGCACGTACTGACTGCTCAGGATACTGTGTTGCGGCGGATTTAGTCTAGGGTTACCCTTCAAATGTTGGATAGGAATTGCCTGGCACGGCAAATAAACACACACACAATGAAAAGAAAATTTCACAAACAAACCATGATGATTATGATGATGATGATGTACAAATCCTGTTTACCTGCAGTACAACATTTTTGCAAATTCGTTTACCTCACCGAAATCCACAACAACAACAACAGAAATGTTTGTCCATACAAAATCATCTTTTTAAGTCTCAATTTTTCAATTTGGTTTGCATTTTACATTATCAGTATTTTCATTTGTACAAACAATCCTCATTATGATCATTATCCCAATGCCCAAATGTTCCATCGGCGCGCTGATCAGCAAATCTATCAACTGCCTGCCATCGATTACATTTTTTAGCCCAAAACAAACGGAAAAACTGCTCTACTTTGCGCTACATTTACTTTTCTACTGGAAGGTACTGGCGGAGATTGTCGCCAATGTACTCGAGTACAGCGGCCTAAAAGTGTACCGAAGAATGGCCGTACTGCCTCCACCGCCGCCGGTTACTGAACAACAAAAACCTACCTCACAACTTCTTGTCATTGTGACGGGCGCTGACAGCGGAATGGGCAGGGCAATCGTTGAGGTGGCCGCCTTTCGCATGAGGGCAAAGGTCATCTTCACGGTACAAAAGAAAGAAAACGGTCAATCGCTGGTGGATGAAATTTGCATGAAAAATCCTACCGTTGTACAACGGCAAAACTTGATCTCGTTGAGGCTTGATCTTGCTTCATCTGATTCGGTTCGCCTCTGTGCGGCGGCTATTTCAACTCACTGTACGGCAGCGTGCAGCGTACGGCTGATCAACAACGCCGGCGTGCTTTGGACAAACAACAACAGCAACAACATTATCAAGCAAGGAAGCGTTTCTGGCGTCGACTACCACTTTCAAGTGAACTACCTCGGCCACTTTCTGCTGACCAGCCTTTTGATGCCATGTCTGCTGAGGGCCAGATCAGCTCGAGTGGTGAACGTCAGCTCCGTGGCTTACCTTCTTGGCTATCCTCTCTTTGATGAAACTTCTGAAAACAATGAAACCAGCCCGAAACTGAACCAGTTCTACGTTCCGCCAGACAAGCCACTGAAGCAGCTAAAAGCGTACGGTCGCAGCAAGTTGGCCATTCTCCTCAGCACACGGCTATGGGCGGAGAAGATGAAATCACTGGGAAACACTGATAAAGAGGGCCCTAAAGTTCAGTTTTACGCCGTCCACCCGGGCGGCACTCGAACGGCCATGATCCTCAGCTCGCCCCTCTCTCGGGTCCTGGTCCGTCTGCTGGGCCGACCGACGATGCTCAGTCCGATGATGGGCGCCCAGACAACGTTACACTGCGCCTTTAGCGAAGAGGTGGCCACTCAATCAGGATTTTACTACGAGTAAGTTATCCAGTCAGTCTTCTTTTATCAATCATTCTTTTATTTGGATAAATGTGAAATAAGAGTGCTGTGCTGTTGTTCACGTATTTTTGATTGCTCTGCTGAAATGTCCCTGTGAATTGCTTTCACCGTTGTTTTGCTAGAAACTGCCGTCCGATACTGCCGCTGCTCGGCGGCTCGCTAAGCAAAGTGGACGCTGCTGCCGCCGCCGAAGCTCGCCGCCTGTGGACTCTCAGCTGTGAACTGTGCCGCATCAACGAGGAGGACTACTACTACGGTGGCTGCTAACAATAACTATTCATTCAAGGCTGCTATTTAGAAGCTTGAGGTGTGGAAGGTGTTTAGAAAGTGCAATTCTTAATTAAAGTTTTTTTTAAAGAGGAGTGTGGTCATTTTGAAGGTATAAATGTTTGTTTGTTGTGTGTGTGTGATTGCCATGGTCCGGAATGTAGCGTTTCAATGCTTCACATGAAGGCACTTTTGTATCAATTCACACACTAATTGTTTGCTGCTCTTCAAGTCACATCTTTTGCAGGATAAACTGAAGACGCTTTAGCAGGAAACGGTAGTGTGCTAGCGGCTTCCATTTTTCGCCCTCTTTTGAGGCACTTCCGGGATTCCTTTTAGAAAGTGGCGATTCAGCAGTGGCAGCAGCACCATTTTCAATTTCATTTTGCTCTTTTTGTTGCTGCTGTTGCTGCTCACCGTTGACGCCTGCTTCATCAGTACTTTCTGTTACGTTTTCATTATCAACTGGACGCTTACGCACCAGAAACGGATTAAAGTGGATGCGGTTTTTCTCTTGCTGCAAATTGAACAGTTTTAACATTTTAAAAGTTTTAAAGTTTAAAAGTTTACTTACCACAACGTGTCCTTTCTGGTCAAAGACCTTGCCCGAGGCGACGTTCCACTCATTGTTGAGAATGCTTCGGCGTCCTGGTGGTCAGCAAAAGTGCAAAAAATGAACAAAATTTATTAAAATTAAATTTTTAATCACAAGCACACAAACCTGGCATGCAGGTAGCTGAAGAGGCTAGGAAGACGGTAGCGAGAATAAAAAACAAAAGA